TTATTTTTTAAAGTTTAGCTCAGCATAAGGAAAAACATCCTAACCATTAGATTTATCTAAAAGTATGCAGATTGCCATGGAGGGTAATGGGCTCCCACTAACCAGAGGTCTCCAGGAAGAGGCTAGATTACTACCTGTCAGATACCAGTTGGGCTAGAGACCTGTGAGCTCCCTCCTGGCATTGAGATCCAGTGACTCTGTAAACAGAATTGAGAAATATCCATGCAGTAGAAAAACTCCTAGATTTGGAGTCAAGACTTGGGTTTCAATCTCAGCTTTACCACTTACCACCTGGGTGACTTAGAGTGAGTCACTTAACTTCTCATGATCTCAGTTTCCTTCAACTGTAAAATGGAGGAGTTAGCCAAGATGACTTCCGAGATCTCTTCTAAGTCTAAATCTATGAATATTTTATTTATCTCATTTTGTTTAGTTTTTTGATGCCTTTTACTTTGACGTCACAGTAATTTTGCTATACTGTTCTCTTTCCCCTTCTCCTACTGAGACCTCCTTTATAGCAAAGACAAAAACGTTTAAGCAAAACCAACCAAGATGTACTATGTCTGAAACATATGGAATATGAAACATATTCCACAGTCAAAAACTCCACTTCTCCATCTCTCCAATGAAAGGAAGGAAATACATGCACTCATCTCATCCCCAAAGTCAAGATTGCTTGTTATAATGACCAAATGGTCAGCTTTGTGCTATCATTCTTTCATATTATAGTATTCATTGTGTAGATGGTTTTCCTGGTTCTATTCGCTTCACCCTACATCAGGTCACACAAGTCTTCCCATGTCTCTCTAAAATTCCTCATATTATTCATTTCTTACTGCCCAACAAAACTCTATTACATTCATACATCATAGTTTGTTCAGCCATTTCCCAGGAAATGGGCATCTACTTTATTCCAATGATTTTGCTGCTATAGAAAGTGCTACTACAAATATCTCAGCGTGTGTGTATGTGTGTATGGTAACGTGCACAATATATAATGTGTGTATATATACACATATATGTATGCATGTATATGTGTATTTGTATATATATACATATATATGCATACACACCGAGCTATATATAGGATCTTTCTGTCTTTGATCTTTATAAAGACTAACATACCATCCCTCATAGTAGGGATCTCAGGGCCAAAGAATATGAACAGTTTAGGCATTTTTCTCAAATAATTCAAAATTGTTTTCTAGAATGGACCATTTCACAGTTGGTGGCTCTGATTAGAGAAGAACTGGAAAGAGGTGATTGCTTTAGGGCCTGTGTCAGTAGTGGCAATCTTCAAACAGCTGTAACTGCTTTTTTTTCTTTCTTTCCATTCTTTCTTTTTTTATCCTTTCTGTCTTCCTTTCTTTCCCTCCTTTCCTTCCTCCCTTCTTTCTTTCTTTTATCTTATTTTCTTTATTTCCTTTTCTTTTCTTTCTTTGTTTCTCTTTCTTTTTTAAAAATTAATTTATTTTGAATTATCAACAATCACTTCCATAAGCTTTTGATTTTTAAATTTTTCTCCCCCTCCCTCCTCAGCTCCCTCCCTAAGATGGTGTACAATCTGATATAGGCTATACATATACATTCCTATTAAACATATTTTCACATTAGTGATGTTTTAAGGAAGAATTAGAACCAACAGGAGTAACCACCTTAAAGAGGAAACAAAACACAACAGAAGGGAAAAAAAGAGCAAATAGTATGCTTCGATCTGCATTCAAACTCCATAGTTCTTTCTTTGCATGTGGACAGCATTTTACATCATGAGGCTTTTAGAAATGTCTTAGATCCTTGTATTGCTGAGAAGGGTTAAGTCTATCAATATTAGTCATCTCACAATGCAGCTGTTACTGTGTACAATGTTCTCCTGGTTCTACTCATTTCACTCAGCATCAGACCATACAAGTCTTTCCAGGTTTTTCCGAAGTCAGCCTGTTCACCATTTCTTATAGCACAACAGCATTCCATTACATTCATATACCACAACCTGTTCAGCCGTTCCCCAATTGATGGGCATCCTCTCAATTTCCAATTCTTCGGAAATAAAGAAGAGCTATAAAAAGAGCTGCTATAAATATTTTTGTACATGTGGTTTCTTTCATTCTTCTTCCTTCTCTCCCAGGCTAGAAATGCTTGGGCTACTCACAGACCCTACTGCACTACTGATTGGTACAGGGTCTTTGACCTGCTCCATTCCTGACCCAGGCTGGGTTACCCCTCTTTAGGCAACCTAGTGACCCTATGGCTCTTGTTCAATAGATTGCTTCTGGGCTCAGTTCAGCCCCCTGATCAGCTTGTGAGGAAGACATTTCTCTCCTGTCTCTACAAGGGCACATTCCCAGGTGCAAAGGGGAAAGCCATCTAAACAACCAGCCACGGTTAAACAGACAATAGCTGGTGCATAATTTATGTGTTGGCCTTTGCAACACATCAATTATGAGTATTCCACACACTTTGATAGGGCCTGGGTTTTCTGCAGGTTGAAAATATAGTGTATATACCCAAACTCCAAGATGCACTCTCCTGGTGGTGTGTTTGCATTATCCCCTACTGCTTTGAAGACAGCTCCTCCCTAACCCTGAAAATCACATGCACATGCACACACACACAGACTCAGGGATGTGGCTGGTAAATGTTTAGCAACATGTGTGTATATGTATGTGTATGTATATATACACATATGTATATATGCATGTGTGTATGCTTATATTTAACAAGTGTGTATATGCATATACATATATACCAGCACATATATTATGTAACATATATAATACAATTTTCGTGTGTGTATATAGTTAGGCTCATAGAGCACAAACTGTTAGACCTGGAAAAAGCCCTAGGGAGAGAGTCCAACTCTGACATTTTGCCCATGAGAAAAGAGACTTTAAAAGGTTAAGTGAATTGCCCAGGTAGTAAACTACAGAGCTGAGATTTGAACCCAGGTACACTGATTTCATATCCAGTGTTCTCACTACACTACAACTTCTCCATCTATCCAATGGGATTAATAGTACTACATATGGTGTTAGCGTCAGAAATGAAAAGAACATTGGACCGGTAGTCGGAAGACCTGAGATCTAGTCCCAAAGCTGCTAGTAACTTAATTTGTGTCTCTGGGACAAGTCACCTCCCCTCTCTGGAGCTCAGTTTATTACTCAGTAAAATGAGTAGGTTGGACGAGATGATCCCTAACATCCTTTTCAGCTCTAATATTTTATGTCCTGTGCGCTAATTTTCCTATGTGTTCTGGGTTCTGATATGCTGTGTTCTAAGGTCCCCTCCAGCCAGGAGTGTGTTGGAGCTAGTTCTAACCAGCTTACAAAGCCCATTGTCAAATTTTCAGTGAGCATTTACACCTCCAAAATTGGCAATCACTGCAATTCAGGGCTTGAGTTATTGTTTTGTTGAGTTCTAGATCTTAGTGTTAATCATGCAGATTAAATGTAAAAGTGGATTGCAACCTATTTTTTTTTGAGAGCTTGGTTGTTAAACATTCACCAGCACACCCCTCAATACCTCTACAAATACTGCTTCAGCTCAGCAGGAGCCCAGAGAAGGCTCAGAGAATGAAGTCATCACTTGCCTGGAGGCCTGGTAACTCAAGGCTAATAGTAACAATAACTATAACAACATCAATAATGACAAATAACTGGCATTTATATAGCACCTTAAGCTTTGCAAAATGCTTTACAGACATTCTCATTTGAGCCTCATGACACCCCTGTTATTTCCAGTTCTAGCATTCTGCAAATCCAGTCAGAATGATGACAGCTCACATTTCCATAGCACTTGAAGGTTTAAAGAGCCCTCTCTTCATATTATGAGCTAATTTAATGCAATGTTGTCCCCATTTTACAGATTAGGAAATGTATTCCTTATTAGGTTCAGTGAGTTGGCTCTAGTCAGGGGGCCAGTATGAGTCAAGACTCAATTACAAATTAAACTTCCTGATTCCAAGTCTAGGGTTCTTTCCCCTATACCACACCTGCTTTCTAAAGGAAAGGAACCTGAAGGTCATGAAGTGAGATACAAAGATCTAGTTCCTACAGATAGGGACTGGGCCTGTGACCTCATTGGTATGATGAACTCCTGGGGTGAGAAAATTCCCTCCACTAATACTGTGTATTTCTGAAGTTGAGTGTCGTAAGAGACATCAAGTGACTTGGCCAGATCATATGGCTAGTATGTGTCGAAAGCAGAATTCTTATCCAAGTCTTCCCAGATTTGAGGCCAGCTCTCTGGCATAGAGGATAGAGTGTGGCCTTGGAAGTTCAGAAGTTGTTCAGTCATGTCGGACTCTTCCGTGACTCCATGGACCATACCATCCATGGCGTTTTCTTGGTAAAGACACTGGAGTGGTTTGCCATTTCCTTCTCCAGTGGATTGAGACAAACAGAGGTTAAGTGACTTGCCCAGGGTCACACAGCTAATAAGTGTCTAAGGCTGGTTTTGAACTCAGGTCTTCCTGACTCTAGGACCAGAAACCTATCCACTGAACCATCTAGCTGCCTCCAGCTAGAGAGAGAAAGAGAGTTAGGAGACCTAAGTTCTGTGTGATACTATGCAAGTCATTTAATCTCTCTCAGATTCAGTTTCTTCATCTAAAACTAGGAATAATAATAGCACCTAGGGGCAGCTAGGTGGAGCAGTGGATAGAGCACCGGCCCTGGATTCAGGAGGACCTGAGTTCAAATCCAGCCTCAGACACATAATACTTACTAGCTGTGTGACCCTGGGCAAGTCACTTAACCCCATCACCTAACCAAAAAATAATAATAATAATAATAGCACCTACCTTACAGAATTGTTGTGATGATCAAATGAGATAATCCATATAAAGCACTTTGCAAACCTTAAAGTTCTATATAAATTCTAGCTATTCTTATTATCTTCTGCTATATCACATTGCCTCTCAATACAAATATAAAAGTATGAAATAATTATACTACTACTCTTGTTATTACTATTAACTAAATCCAGCTCTTTTCTCTTCACAGATCCTGGCCATTATCTCCATCATGTTCATTGTCCTCTCAACCATCGCCTTGTCGCTCAATACACTTCCTGAGCTTCAGAGCCTTGATGAGTTTGGACAGAGCACTGACAACCCCCAGCTGGCCCACGTGGAGGCTGTGTGCATTGCCTGGTTCACCATGGAATACCTCCTGCGATTCCTGTCCTCACCAAAGAAGTGGAAGTTCTTCAAGGGCCCACTCAATGCTATTGATTTGCTGGCCATTTTGCCCTACTATGTCACTATATTCCTAACCGAGTCCAACAAGAGCGTGCTACAGTTTCAGAATGTGCGCCGGGTGGTGCAGATCTTCCGAATCATGAGAATCTTGAGGATTCTCAAACTTGCCCGGCACTCAACCGGCCTACAGTCTTTGGGGTTCACCCTCAGGCGGAGCTACAATGAGCTTGGTTTACTCATCCTCTTCCTAGCCATGGGCATCATGATCTTCTCCAGCTTGGTTTTCTTTGCTGAGAAGGATGAGGATGACACCAAGTTCAAAAGCATCCCTGCTTCCTTCTGGTGGGCTACGATCACCATGACCACCGTAGGTTATGGAGATATCTACCCCAAAACCCTCTTGGGTAAAATCGTAGGGGGGTTGTGCTGCATTGCGGGAGTCTTGGTGATTGCTCTTCCCATCCCCATCATCGTCAACAATTTCTCTGAGTTCTACAAGGAGCAGAAGAGACAAGAAAAAGCCATCAAGCGCCGGGAAGCCCTGGAGAGAGCCAAGAGAAATGGTAGCATTGTTTCCATGAACATGAAGGATGCTTTTGCCCGAAGTATAGAAATGATGGACATTGTAGTGGAAAAGAATGGGGAGACCCTCGGAAAGAAGGACAAAGTCCAAGATAACCACTTGTCTCCTAACAAGTGGAAGTGGACAAAGAGGACTCTGTCTGAAACTAGCTCTAGTAAGTCCTTTGAAACAAAAGAGCAGGGGTCTCCAGAGAAGGCCAGATCGTCATGCAGCCCCCAGCACCTGAATGTTCAGCAGCTAGAAGACATGTACAATAAGATGGCCAAGACTCAGTCTCAGCCTAACCTCAACACGAAGGAGTCAGCTCAGCAGGGCAAACACAAGGAAGAACTTGAAATGGACAGCATCCCAGGTCCTGTGGTGCCCCTCTTGCCTGCTCGCACAGAAGGGGTGATTGATATGCGCAGCATGTCCAGCATCGATAGCTTCATCAGCTGTGCGACAGACTTTCCAGAATCCAGCAGGTTCTCCCACAGCCCACTGGCATCCCTCTCTAGCAAGACAAGTGGCCCTGGGGCCCAGGAACTCAGCTGGCAGAGCCCTCCAGACTCTGGTGGGAGCAGGTTGTCAGACTCCAACCCAACCCCAGATGGCAGTCAACGCTCCAGCTTCTTTATTGAGAGTCCCAAGAGTTCAATGAAGACAAATAACCCCTTGAAACTCCGGTCACTGAAAGTCAATTTCATGGAGGGGGACCAAGGCTCATACTTGCCTATGGGCAGCATCCTGGGGATATATCCAGATCCTCTCAGAAACCGGGGTGGGGCCACCATCCCTGGCCTTGAGAGTGCTATGCTCCCAGATCGATCCTTGCTGAGCCCAGAGTCCTCTGTCTACACCACAGCAAGTGCCAGGACACCCCCCAAATCCCCTGAGAAACATGCAGCAATAGCATTCAACTTCCACGATGCCAGTATCCATCAGTACATCGATGCAGACACTGACGACGAAGGGCAGCTTCTCTACAGCGTGGACTCCAGTCCCCCGAAGAGCCTTCACAGCAACACCAGTCCAAAGTACAGCATCACCAACAGTGGGTTCCTCAGGCAAAGAGACAGTGTGCACAGGACAGACAAGAACCACCAGGAGCTTTCCCCCTTACCCACCTCGCCCAAGTTTCTAGGGCAGAACTGTGTTTATTCCATGGAAGCATTGACTGGAAAGAACCAGAGAAGTCAAGAAAAGGGCAAACTAGATAACCACATATCCCCGGAGGTCCATGTGCTGCCAGGGGGTGGAGGGCAGGGAAGCACAAAGGATTCAAGCATCTGAAAAGCCCTAGACAGGAGATCTGTCGGCACGTTCCCAGGGATGCTGTCTGCTCCCCCACCACTGAGCTTTTCTGCATGAACTTTACAAATGAAACAAGCCACTTGTTTCTCAATAAAATACAGAATGAAGTATATCCGAGGAAATGCCCAGAGCAGCCACACAAGTCCCGCTGTGGAAGGATCATCTAAGGTACTTCCCAGTCCACAAAACCACCCATCAGAGTGAGGTTGGCCAGGCTACAGTATCTTCTTGGATCCTTCCTGTGACCGGCCTTCTTCGGAGGGGCTGGGAACAACGTTCCCAGCAGTCCCCGTTCCCCTCTCCCTCCCACACCCTCTCCTCTTCCCCTGTCCTTGGGACACTCCAACCTCAGATGTTCCAGCCCTGGATGGGAATGTCTGCCTCCCTCCCAGGGAAGAACAGAGCAGGGAACAGGAGCAAACCTGTGGGAGAGGAAGGGAAGGGGGGAGGACAAGCCCAGTCTGGGGTCCTGCTTCACAACCATTGGGCACGCCAGTCTTCTGCCTCCTGGATGGAGACAGTTTTTCAAGGTAGCAGGGGATGCTTACATCATGGAAATGTGAGCGCTTGTACAAGCCAAGGTTCTGGCCTGAAAAACTTATTGCAGACCCTTCACCTAACTTCAGTATTCTGTAGAAACCTGAGCTTTTGTTTTGAGGTCAAAGCAGGGTGAGTTGCACCACTTGTATCTGATTTAAATTGACTCCTTACCTCCTGGGGAGGGGTTGGTAACTCTGATATTTACCCAATGCAATGAACTCGGGCACCAATAGAATGTTGTGGGAGAAAATGAGAATATTTTTGGAGATTTAACTAGCGTAGAATCAAAAGATATGCAAGTGTTAGATATACAAAAGAAATACCGTAATCAAAGAGACCACGAGTAAGCCACAACAAAACCTAATTGGTTTAAAATAGGGGGAAAAAAACTGCAAAATTCAAAAGGAAACCGAGCCCCACTTGCAACACTGAGTTTAGACTCTTCAATACATCCTTCCATGACAGGTTTTAGCAACTGTAAAGGGATTAACTTTTGTTTCTGCGATATTCACACTAAAAAAAAAATGTTATAAACAAAAAGCACTTTATGGTCTCTCAAAGGTGAGATCTACCAAGGACAGCATAAACATCTAGCACTTTAAAACAAGCACTATTTCCGTGGGGGCTACCTGTTGTGACTGGCGAGGTTGTCAATAAGACATTGGTCACTGGCCACAGCTGGCCATGTGACCTGTGCGCTGTTATTGCTCTGTGTTATGTCTGTGTCTGTGGGCTCACCTTCCCCACCCCCAGCCCCAAGAAGCTAACCTGTTAATCCCTGTGAGTCTTAAAGGAAAAGGCTTCTAAACCCCCTATGACAGTGTAGGTGACCTGGGCAGTTGATGATCAAGTCTACCTGTCCCGGGGACACCATGCCTGCACCGCTGCGGAAGACAGTCAACAGTCTGGAGTCTGATGTCTCTGTTCCTTTCTTGTAAACTAGTCTTGGGTTTGTTTTTGGTGTAACTGTCTGTACATAATGCTGTGCTCTCACATTCCTGCAACCGGTGACGGCCAGGACAGCCTGTACAGACAACAGCAATAAGTACACATGTACATTGTCAGTGGTTGTGGTTTGTAACTTCATGGTTGGTCGTCCCGTCCTTAGTACAATGACTTCTATGCTGCATATACACCTGGCTCTCCTCCCACCTCAGCATGCTGGGGGAGATGAATTCTCACTGAGTCAGGGTGGGCCCTGGATGGGCTCTGTCCCTGGCCAGGTGACAGAGAAGAGTAGCAACTGGAAGGACTTGCCACGTCTATTCACAGTGCGTGTGCAGCAGATGCAAGTGTACTTAGAGGAGTTGCTGCAAAGTATTCCCGGGATCCTTGTGTTGGCCTGAGAGGGTAGCACACTCCATGGCATCTATCCACCAAGGGGGCAAGCTGTGTGGGGTGGCCAACTGCCCGTGGGAGCCAATGGGAGGTAGTCCAACACAATGTCCACCGGTCTTAGCATCTTCTCTTTGTTTGGGTCGCCATTCATGTCTGTCATCAGCACAAATGTGAAAATTCAGGGAAAAAAATAGCTTTTTTTTTACATATATTAGATATATATATATATATATATATATATATATATATATATATATATATATATAAAAGTAAATAGTAGTGATTTCCAATTGAGAAATTTTTAGAGCTGATGCTAATCTATTATGTTTTAAAAAAATGACATTGCATATTTTACATATCAGGAAAGTGAACACATTTAAATATAGCCATATACCAAGGGAACTCACCAACCCTACTTTAAATTGATGCATCTTATTTGCAGGTGATGTTGACAAGAGGTGTCTAGATTAGTAACATGTCATGTTTTGGTTTGGTTTTTAAAAACTGAAATCAATTGGTGCAACTCTCCTTGTAACCAAAGGCCCTGTCTGCCTTGTGTGGTCACTTAGGACTCAACCCTTAGCTCGCCTATTTCGTCTCACTTTAAAGTAGCATTTTGAGTCACTTTTGAAGGATGAATTCAGAAGTAACCTTAAAAACCTACCTTTTGTGGCATCAGAGCCAAAACCCTATAGATTTCTTATAGAAACAGAATCACAGAGACCCAGCATATACTATGCTTGAAGAATGTTTTGATTTCTTTTTTTATTTTTCACTTTTGTGTGTCTGTATTATGGGAAATGTAGCTCTTACCGTGTGCCCAGTTCCAAATAAAAACATGACGAATCCAAATTTTTAAAATATGTGGATGTTACGTGCGTGCACATGCAGTCCTGTGCATAGGTACCCATATGTACGTATACACTGGGAAATCTACTTAAGTATTACTATGCGGTGAGACTCCAATGTCCTTGGTAGAGAAAAAGCACTGATTTGGATGCAGAGAGTGCTCCCTTCCTTCCATCCCCCCCCCCAGTCCCACAGGTATCTCAAGAAGAACGTCACTCAAAAGTTCCCATTATATTTTCTCCCGGAGCCAACAAAAAGCAAGTGGAAGAAAAATAAGACTCACACAAACCCACGGGCTTTGTGGTTTGTACAGCTGTGAATAGAGGTGGGCAGAGATGAGTTGAGGAGATCCCAGGGCTCCCTTCTCTTTGGGCAATCAATTCAGCAGAATGCCCCTGTCAGCTGGATCCCAACAGAGAACAGACCCAAACTTCCACCACTCATCCCTAAGGGAGCAAGTGTAGACAGCTTCTAGGCCGCTTCACTACAGTTTAGGGACAACAAAATCAAAATGGTTTTGGTTGGTTTTTTTTTTAAAGGGCCAGAACAGATCACATCAAAAAGAGCATTCCCATGTCATTCCCATCACCAATCCCTATCCAATTTGTTGAAATGATGACATATCCCAATGACTAATTCATTTGAATCCACTCATGGATCCCAAACCAACAACTGGATTCTGTGACAAAACTCTGGCCAAGCCAGTCAAATACTGGCCAGCTGGCCACCCCAGTGCCACACTCCAGAGACAAAACTGTGGCCAGTTGCGGGTGGAGTGCTAACCCTGGGAGGAGATGGTTTCTGGAACTTTTAAGCTTTGAGCAAAGAAGAACAGTACTTCCGGGCAGTAGATTTCTCAGTGCCTTTTTCTCTTAGGAATTTCATCTAAGCACACTTAAAGGGGAAAAGGGACACAAAAGAAGGAGGAAGAAAAAAAAAGATACATTTGTTCCTGTGACTCCCACTTTCCTAGAAGAGTTAGGGAATTAAGAATTCAGAAGAAGGAAAAAAAAAAGATTCCCTTTTGCCTGATGCAGTCCAACCCCTGGGAATCACAGGCGATGTAAACTTTGAACTATCAACACATCCTATGGGTATCTTTGGTGACTCTAAGCCTTCTCTTCCCTTGCAGCTAATAAGGCACCTGTTTATAAGGAGCGAAACAAAACAGTATTCTTTTCTGTAAAATTGTAATGTACTGTTAATATTTGTATCTACTGTATATTTCTGTCGCGAATGAAATTATGGCTGGTACAGTTTCTAGTTGATGAACAGGGGGTAATTTAAGACTTAAACCAACCAGGTCACTAAAGCCAGGTTCTCTCTCTCTCTCTGCCACCAAGTCTCATATCACATTATCCAAGACATTTAAACAAGAACTTGAGAAAATAGCAAAACTCTGGACTCTGGGCCCAGAACAGCAGGACCGCTGTGCTGAAGCACTTTGGTCAATGGCTTCACGTAGCCACACAAGTGGGAGAAGAAGGAGGAGCCACCATTCCAAGCCACCCTGCCAGAATTGACCAAGTCAAACTAGAGGTTTCCCTTCTTCAGAAATTTCATAGCCTCTCAAGTCCTTGGCTAAGGAAACCAAAACTAACCTCAGACAACCATAGAATGTTTTGGGATACCCCCAGTCAGGGAGAAGATGGCTTTAATCAGTTCCTGAAAAGGTACAAAAGTTGGAATTACCTCGGTGTTTACCTTTGCGCTGGCCCTTTAAGTATCTGATGTATGGAAATGTCACAAGACTTTCGTGCATCTCAGAATAGTCTATTTTTCTGTTGAGATAAAAAAAAATATATATATATATGTATTTTTAGCAAATTTATAATAGGGAAATTGAGTCAAATTTCTTCTTTTGTATTACAGAATAATATATTAGGAGACTTATTTATGGTCATTTCTATATCTGATTTCTTCTGGTCTTTTTATTTTATTCCTCCCTTCCTTGGTTTTTGTTGCTCCTAGGGGAGTGGGGGGTGTGGGGGGCAGGGAGGGGCACAGAAAATCCCAACCAAGGTTTCGGTGTCTGACTCCTTTGTGGAAATGTCTACCAACTGTCTGGTATTGTCATTTCACGTAACCTGTTTCTGTAGTGTTCCTGTCTAGGGCTCATAAAGCAGGGACTGAAAGTTGAAGAGAGGGAGGAAAGGAAGGAGGAAAGGTGTGATTTGTCAAATGCAATCCACCCAACATGGGAATTGGGAAAGGCCAATCTGACCAAAGCTGCCATTCCAGACATCCTGGATTTACCAAGAATTTTTGGAACCAA